TAAGTTACATATTGTTGAGACTAAATAATTTTAGAAAGTAAGGTTTTAACTCTATTGCACAGCTCTTGTCTGAGTCCAACCGTTGTAGTGTGAGACCTTTCATTCGAATAATTATCTGGTGTCGGCGCTATCTAATCATATTCGTGAGCTAGTTAGAGGATGTTAGAGGGAGTTCCTTCTGCAGATGATGGCGGGGAGTAGTATGGTAGTTGCCCTAGGGATACCTAGGAAGAGATTTAGTACTGGGAGCCTTGTCTTGTTGAGAATTGTATGTATGGATAAGGGGTGACATGGAGGATTCAAAGCAATATTTAAGGAAAGTACAGATAGATGTGGAAAGTAGTATGGGCCCGTACTGGAAGTAGAGGATCTGTACTCGAGTCAAGGAAGGATGTGATGATACCAGGAAGCTTGTAGGTTGTGGGACTCCTCAATGTATATATGTATATGTATATGTGGTCTATTTTTCAGTATGGTGGCCACACGAGGAGGTTCTGGTTCGGGTTCTGGAGTCGGGCAGTTGGATGATCAGACGCGGGAGTTCATTTTGTATGAGATTACCCGTAACATACTTGAGCAGACTCCTGCGATCTTTGGTTCGGTCAAGGAGGGAATTCTAGAGCTTTTGGATGAGCGATTGAGTTCATTTCGGTCTGAGATGGTGGTATTCATGGGAGCTCGCACTTTGACCTTCCATGAGTTTAGGGCACGTGGAGCCCCGGAGTTCTTTGGGAAGAAGGACCCGATCGCGAGCATACGATGGTTAGTGGATGCCGCTAATGCCTTCAGCACTAGCAGTTGCCCCGATGGGGCAAAGGTCAGACTCGCTTCTTGTCTTTTGAATGATAGAGCCCGAGACTAATGGGAGGAGGTAGGACATTCCTTGGGAGGCGAGGCAATTGAGTCCATGACATGGGATGATTTTGTGACTAGATTTAGAGCTGAGTTTGCACCAGTGATCGAGGTGCAGCAGTTGGCGAGGGAGTTCTAGGACCTTCGCCAGACTACTGAGACGGTGGCTGAGATCACCACGATATTCCGTGAGAGGGTGTTGTTGGTTTCGTAGTATGTGGCAGACGAGGATACGAAGAAGGCGAGATACCATGAGATGTTGAGGAGTGATATCCGACAGTTTGTGAGCCGATCCAGTTGCAAAATACTGGAGGTATGATTGCGAGGGCCAGAGAGAAGGATATTGATCTAGAGATGGATAGGAAGAAGAAGCCAGATCGGGTTCAAAGTTCAGAGGGTTTAGGCAAGAGGCCCAAGGTATTTGATTCGATATCGAGAGTCCAGCAGGGTCGGGGCCACTGTGGCAAGTGTGGCAATTCGCACAATAGGGAGTGCATGGTGGGTGGTTCTGGCTGCTTCAAGTGTGGTCGGACGAGTCATATTAGCAGGGATTGCACTGCTACTACCACCACCCCAGTATCTGATCTGATTTGCTTCCATTGCAATCAGATGGGCCACAAGAAGGTCCATTGTTCGAGATTGGCAGCAGCAGGACCGATGGTAGCACCTGCTCCAGCGACTCTACGGATCACTGATGACCGCTAGGGCAAGGCGGATGCATCTGTGGTGAAGAACATGGTTTTTCTGCTGACAACCGAGGAGGCTTGCGCATCACCTAATGCGGTGATGGGTATGTATCTTCTCCTTATTTCTTTATTTATGTTGATTCTATGCTTATATTTTTATGTTTTATATTAGGATTGTTCCTTATGCACGGTATCTCCGCGTTGGTATTGTTTGTTTCGGGGGCTACCCGATCTTTTGTATCACTTGCGCTTAACAAGAGGTTTGTTGGAGCTCCAGGGGAGCTGGAATATCCCTTAGATGTTGAGATTTCGGATGATCGATCTATCAGGGTATTGAGGGTTCATCAGGGTTACGTGACAAGTCACCCTTTAGGACCAAATTTGAGAGTTTGGCTAGAGGTCTTAAACGAATACGTGCTTAATGGAGGGGTTTGGCAATTTGGGGAGTACGTTGGGCGTACCCAGCTGGTACGCTACACGTATTACACCTGGAGGGTGTACGCTAAGTGTACGAGCTGAGTACGCCCCGCGTACTCAGCAGATGGATGTTTGGGCTTGGCAATTCTCGGTATTGGGTCATGCTTTGGACTTTGAATATTGGGCCTTGTTGGGTCATTAGACTTATAATTTTGGACTTTTGCTAGTATTTTGGGCTCCTTTGAATTTAGTCCCATGATGGGTTTTGGGCCCAATATAGAAGGTTAGGCCATATTGGGATTCGGGTTGCCATTTAGGATTGGGGCCTTTTGAGTATTTGGGTTGGGCCTTGGTTTGGGCCAACTAAGAAAAAGGGTAAAATGGTCTTTTACCATGGTCGTGGGTTAAGTAGCTTAGATTCTTGATTATGGGTCGAGATCCAATTATTAATTGGATATTGTTTTGATGATGATAGCATGGGGATTTTTCGAACTAGCAGACCGAGATTCATTTGAGTATTTCAGCAGCAAGAGGTGAGTTTCGTCACTATGTTTAGCAGGTCGAAGGCACCAATGTTGGCCCATGGTTTATTATGTGTAGGATGCTAGTTGTCAGCGTGACTCTTGCATGTCTTATGTGTTTCTATGTTTACCGGGTGGGGCCCGATGACTATCATGTATGCTATTTATCTCTGTGATTATGACATGTGTTGTATGATTATATGATTATATGTTTATATGTTTATATGAATATTGGGCGCGGCCTGATGGCTGACATATCTGTTTACTGGGCGGAGCCCATTATATGTTGATATGTATGGAATGTGGTATTTTGGGGAACTCACTAAGCTTTGTGCTTACGGTTTTCAGTTTATGTTTCAGGTATTTCTGGTTCGAAGGGGAAGAATCTAAGATGATTGTAGTGCACGCGCCACATTGCTCCACATTTTACATTACTCTGATATATTTGGATATTATTGATACACTTTGATTCACTATGGTTTTGATTATGTTGTTTTGGGATAATGGATTTATTAATTTAAAAATCAAAATTTTTGGTCTTAATTTTTGGGACGTTACAAAAAATACGTGATCTTTCTTGGAATCAAGGAACCTTTCTGGTTGGGATATGTAAATCTTCTCATCTAAACCATCATGAAGAAATGTAGTTTTTTCGTCAAGCTTCTCAAGCTCTAGATCAAGTGAACTTACCATGGACAAAAAAACATGAATTGTTTTGTGCTTCACGACAAGTGAGAAAACCCTATGATAGTCAATTCCTTCTTTTTGAGAGAATCATTTTGCCACCAACCTCACTTTGAACCTCGTTGGTTCAATTCCATAAATTTTCTCATTTATTTTAAAGATCCATTTGCATCTCATTGGTTTTGCTTATTTCGATAATGGGACAAGAACTTACGTTTTATTTTCTCCAATGATTGTATTTCTTCATTTATCATCATTAACCATTTTAATGTGTGTTTAAGTTTAAGAGGTTATGTAGTTTATAAACCTTTCTAAGTTTCTTATATTAGTGGCATTTTATGTTTTACAATTTAAGGACAATTCCATAAAAGCCACTGTATTTTTTTTTTTTTCGGTTTAACCACCGAGATAATTTTTTTCCAGTTTTATTTTATTTTTCATAAAAACCACTATATAAAATATTAAATTTGGTAAGAACAACTGAAGTTTGGAATATGTTTGGTTTCATCACACAATTTTTTTTATGATTTAACATTTAAACTTTGATTTTTTATCCAAAAAGAAACAATTTTAACAGAAGAAAAGTCATTGTTTCGATTGGTGTCTTTCTACTCGATACCGAAAAAAAGAACTTACAAAGATTATTATGGAAAAAACAAACTTTTAGTGGTTACACCGAAAATAAAACAAACTATTAGTGGTTAAATCGGAAAAAAATTATTTGAGTAATTAAACCATAAAAGAAAAATCAAATCTATAATGGTTAGTATGAAAATTTCCTTACAATTTATATATATCTTCCAAGTAATGCAATAAGTAATGCGATGAAGTTTAAAAAGTACTTTCACATTTCTTTTTTCTCATATTTGTTACATACATATCATTCTTAACAGTTAACATGAACTTATTTAATTGTTGTTGACAATAACTCGTAACGTTCATGGCATAAGGAAGCTTCATGACTGTAAACAAAGAATTCTCTATTGGAACAAACAAAGTACCACATTTTCTGCAACACACTTTTTGCGATCCAAAAGCCAACTCAAAAGTTCTCCAGAACACCGGTATGTTGAAGCCTTGAAGGTTTAGAAAAATAGATACAACAATATCATTTGATTGCGTTCGTTATTTTGTTTTATAAGATAACTACTTTTTAAGTGTTGATAACACTAACCAAGCCATGACCTTTTTATATATAAAATCAATCTACTACTAGCTAGAACCTATATACGTCAACTGTAATAAAAAAGACGAACTGAAACGGAAATAAACATAACCGGAACAAACCGGATCTGAACCGAAAAAAACCTAGTCTAGACCAAGACCGGTTCCGAAAAATAAAAATGGTCCAGACCTAGATCGAGAGACCGGTCCCAAAAGGAGACCTATTCGAACACCGGACCCTTTTTGTGCACCTCTAATATATAGTCCATTTCTGGCCTTCTTTGGATTCAAGACAAATGAAATAATTATTTCACTCATCTCATATCCTCTTACTATTCTGGGCTTTCATTCTTTGGTTATTCATTTATTGTATAAACCAATCAAGCTTGTTTAACATCAACATATTTGCCTATTTTTATGTATATTATTCATATCTTTTGTTCAAAACCTCTAAATTTTGTCGTCTTTTGACGTATATGACGATGCAGACTAAAATTCCACAAAATTAAATAAGCAAACCAGGATCGGTAACAGCCAGTGAAAAAGAAAAATTGGTACTGATTTTCAAGCAGGAAGTACAAATTACCAAAGCATCATGGTACCCCTACTCTATTATGACCATAATTAAGACATCTTATTTAACTTAATCAACATTATTACAATATTAATTAAATTTTCAACTCTTTCCACCCTTCCGACCACTTTTACTTTGAGCTTGAGTTTGATCATCTGGTCCTATTTCATGAGCCTTGCTCTGAATCGTCTGACCCACCTCCTCCGTCTTCTGCCCTGCATACACCGCCAGATCCTCAATCCGCTGCTTCGCATAATCGATCTGCTCCGGCACCGACCCCATCGTCTGCCGGAGTCTATTCACCAAGAACGACAACGATGTCAGACCCGTCAACCCGAACGTCCCGGAGGTCAAAATCCCAGTAACCGCAAGTCCGATTATGAGTGCTGCGGGTACGATAACCGGACTGAAAATTATGAACACCGGGGTGGCTAAAGCGAGTCCGATCAATGTTCCGACAAGGGTTAGTCCGGCGAGGCCTAGTAACACCCCACCAACTGGAAGCAACGCCATCACGGCCAGGATTTTGCCCTTGGATGGACCTTGTTGATGGCGGAGGGACGAATCGCCGCCGTAAACAGGGCGGTGGTGGGTGGTGGTGTGGACTTGGATCTGGTGTGGCTGACGTTCATGAGTAGCCATGGTTAATGGATGCTTGTAGTGAAAGAGATCAGCTACTGAGATGGAGGAGGTGGTGTTTATAAACATGGAGGGGTGAAAGTGTGGTGATGACACGTGTATGTTGACGTGGCAGCATTAAGGTCTGCATGAGGTCCAAGTTTCATAGTTTTTTGGACTGTTCTGCATCTATTGAAACACGCGACATGTTCTTTTTTGGGGAAGTTGTATTTGGCCCCCTGTAATATGAACTTATTACAAAGAGACGCTTTATACTTTGTGATAATTAGCAGTAACGCCCCTCAAGTATACTAGTTTGTCGGTGAAAATGGTAATGTTCTTTTAACGTATGTTTTGAAAATAGTTTAGTGGCGATATCGTGCGTATAAAGACATTTATTAATTTTATATTTTTAATTGAATAAGCTAATAGGTTTTTTCTTTTTTTCTTTTTTCATAATGTCGTGCCATTTGTAGCTTATTGATTTTTTATTTCAAATTTCAAATTTTATTTTTTTTTTATTTTAATTACATTAAATTAATAACATTAGAATAAAAATTAAAATAAAATTAATACAGATTAAAAGGTCACGTATTTATTTAAATCAGCGATTATAGTTTTATATAACTAAAAAAATATTTAATTAATAATTTATTTAAAATAACTGATTAATAGTTTTGAGTTTTTACTATCAAAATTTAATTATGAAACCATGGTTCTCACAGGTTATAAACTGATATTAATATAAATGAAAAATAATTAAAAAAACAAAGACCGCCAATGTTCTATTTATGTAATTTGGCTATTATATCGGAGCATTATTATAATTGTATCTTATATTGTTCATTTCTTTAATTTTAGATATGGACTACTTTTTATAAATTTGCACTCATACATGGACCATTTATGTATCTTCGTTATTACATAATAACCATTTCTATAATCGCGACAAATTTAGAATTAAAAACCATATTCCTTATGTAATTATAACGAAAAAAATATGAGTAAAAGATACTAGTGTGGGTCAAATCGTATGCCCTAAAACATTTAAACATAATTTCAGTAGTTGTAACATCCATAAAATTCATGAAAATTTAAATTTTTTAAACAACCCAAAATCATCATTGTTTACAAAACAGTTATCAGAGTTTGCCCAAAATCACAAAACCAAACACGAGGAGGTGCACGATCACGTCTTCGCCTTCCCGCGATCCTCTGATGTACCTAAAATATAATCCAAAACTGTAAGCCCAAAGCTTAGTGAGTTCCCCCAAAATACCAATACACAAACAATAGCACATATACAATAACAGCATGTAATAGGTCCACAACTAACATACTGGATTACCCCTGAGCCCACAGCATAAGTTTGGCTTGCCCTCGGCCCACAGCTTATGTCTGGCTTGCTCCCCGACCAGATCAATCATCGGACTGAATACCACTAAGCCCTCAGTACGAGTCTGGCATGTCCTTCCCGACCCTCAGCTCGTATCTGGAATGCTCATGAGCCCTCAGTATGAGTCTGGCATGCCCTCCCCGGCTCTCATCTCATATCTGGATTGCTCCAGGGTTTGTTAGCTACCGCACGGAGCAATACAACCTCAACCCAACCTACACAATATGTCTATATATAACAGATATTACCATACACATATAAACAGACAGTAATACAGGTAGTCCTACAGATCTACCAGACTAGTATAACAAAACTAGCATGCATATTTATTCCATACTCAACATATCAACGAATATCAGGTTATCAAACCAATGGGCCGGCCTTGGTGCCTTCGACCTGTAAGTACAGTGGGGAAAACTCACCTCCCACTGCTGAATCACACTGAAAGTCTCCGGCTGATGGCTCGCTAACATCCTCGCGCTATCACAACAAAATAATCATCCAATTAATAATTGGATTACAACCTAAGCTAATAGTCCATCATTAGGGTAAAATGTCACTTTACCATTTCCCTAGTTGGGCTAAGACCCAAACCCAAATCTTGATCCAAAAGGCCCAAAACTAAGTAATCACTCAAGGCCCATAATTGGAAAATTGGGCCCAAACTCCTATTTGGGCCTTACCCTAGAGTCCATCCCTTCACTTAGCCCAAAACACTAACACTCAGATGGTCCAGTCGGGGCCCAAGAATCTAAGCCCAAAAGGTGGCCCAAACTTGCTAAACCCAACAGACTGAGTACGCGGGGGGGTACCCAGCTGTACGCTCAGCTTACTTCGCCTTGACCAAGAAACGTGTTGTTGACCACCTACGCCCAACGTACTCCCTGGTACGCCCAACGCACGTGTTGGCCATGCAAATCTTCGAATAAGGGCTTAATCAATTCAGTCCAAACGTCCAATAACTAGATCCAAGTCCAAGAAGGTGTTCTTAGTTGGTCTTAACCACTAAAGACCTCTACACTTTGCATGCAAGCACTAAGTGAGACAAGAAAGCATTTTTATGACTTAACACAACTCAAATCTTCTGAAAAGGCAGCTCATTTGGTCTTAGAGTAGCATTTACTCATGAAGTCCAAGAAAAGGGACAAAACTCATAAAACTCCATATGGATAAATCTCTAAGAAATACAAGTTCAAGGCTTTATACCTTGTGGAGTTTCCCAAAGAGATGAAGATCTCAGATCTACAAGCTTGAATCCTACACCAAAGCTTCTCAAAGAATCCTTTCTTCCTTCTTCAACACCAATAACACACATACACTCAAGCTCAACACATACAAGGGCTAGGGCTTGCAAAATCGACTCAGGGAGGGTGAAGGCTGAAAGGGTGAGGGAAATGAGGTTATAAGGGGGATTATATAGGGATAAACCCTAAAAATTAGGGTTTTCAATATCTAATGAGTACGCCCCGCGTATGTTGACGTACGCCCTGCGTACTATGGCGCGCCCTAGTACGCTAAGCGTACACGCATATGCATGGCATACTCCTATTCCTTCCAAATTATGGTTTTGCCATTGGGGCTTCTCATGGCTACTTCCTTCTATTACAGGGACCAAAATGACATAAATTAAAACCATAAGGATGAATTTAAAAGTATCTGAATACCGAGGTGCTACAACTCTCCCCCACTTGAACTAGACTTCGTCCTCGAAGTCTGCTGTAGTGAACAACTTGGGATAATGCTCCCGCATCTTAGCCTCCGGCTCCTAGGTCCACTCGGAGCGCCTCCGGTGCTGCCAACGTACCTTTAACAAAGGTACTTCCTTGCTATGCAAAACCTTTACCTTCCTTTCCAGGGTAGTTACCGGCCTCTCAACATAGTTTAGGCGCTCATAAACCATAATATCATCCAATGAAACCACCACATCCTCATCCAATATGCACTTTCGCAGCTGCAAAACATGGAAAGTGTTGTGAATCTGACTGAGCTCCGCAGGAAGATCCAATATGTAAGCAACTTTTCCAACCGTAGAGATCACTCGAAATGGACCAATATACCGGGAAACCAATTTTCCCCTCTTCCTGAAGCGTATCACACCTTTCCAAGGCGAGACCTTTAGTAACACCATTTCATTGTCCTGAAACTCCAACTCGTATCGGTGTTGGTCGGCATATCTCTTCTGCCGACTCCGAGCAGTCTACAATCTCTGTCTTATCTGCTGAATCATCTCCATAGGCTGAAGGACCACTTCGGTCCACCCCATAACCCTGTGACCAACCTTGCCCCAGCAAACCGGGGTACGACATCTCTGCCCATACAAGAGCTCAAAAGGCGGAGTACCAATATTGGAGTGATAACTGTTGTTATAGGAGACCTCTGCAAGAGGTAGGTAGGAGTCCCAGCTCCCACCAAATCGATAACACAGGCCCTCAACATATCCTCAAGGGTCTGTATCATCTGCTCACTCTAGTCGTTGGTCTGCGAATGATAAGCAGTGCTGAAGTGCAACCTCATGCCCAGTTCCTCATGGAACTTCTACCAAAAAGGGGAGGTGAACCGAACATCACGGTCTAAAACAATGGAGACAAGAACCCCATGGCGAGCAACAATCTCGCGAACATACACATTGGCCAACTTCTCGGCCGAAGAACTCTCCCGAACCGCTAGAAAGTGGACACTCTTAGTCAGTCGATCCACGATGACCCATATAGTATCAAACCCCTTTGCCGTCTTCGGCAACTTGGTGATGAAGACCATCGAAATTTTCTCCCATTTCCACATGGGAACCTCCAAAGGTTGCAACTTTCCATGCGGCCTCTGATGCTCATGCTTGACCATCCTGCAGGTCATGCATCTCTCCACATAACATGCTATCTCCCTCTTCATACACGACCACCAATAGCTCAATGTCAGATCCCGGTACATCTTGGTGGCCCCCGGATTGATAGAAAAACAAGACTTATGAGCCTCCTCCAATACAATCTTTCTAACCTCACCAGACATTGGAACCCAGACCCGACCAAATCGGGTCAACAACCCTCGACTATCTGGAACAAATCAGGCAATCTCACCCCTGATCCTCTCTTTCTTCCAATTCTCTTCCCAAACACCCTCGGCATGAGCCTCCATAATCAATCCCAAAAGAGGGGAATCCCCTGATATCCTCTTACACGATACCCTATCTGAAGACCCAGCCGACTTGTGGCTCAAGGTGTAACATCTGGACTTTCAGGTATATTATTGTGTGATTAATCTTGAGATTTATGGAGTGACTCAGCGAGTTGTGAGTCAACCTCATCGAGTAGAGTCGAGTGTCCACATGGGATTAATGAATGGACTCGACGAGTCAGAGAGCCGACTCGCCGAGTAGGTGCTGAGCAGAGAAACCCTAATTTCCCGGGGTTGGGGCCTATATAATGGAACTTATAGCCCCATTTGCGCCTCACCAGTCACCCTACTTCCTTGAGAGAAACCCTAATCGTACATTTGAGCTAGAGAGTGAGAAAGAGGCTAATCTTGTGGATTTTAGTGCATTGTTGAAGGAGAAGTGGAGAGCATCAAAGCTTGGTTCAAGAGGAGGCTTTGGAACTAGAGGTTTTTCAGAGTTTTGCTTCAGTTGGAGGTAAAAAGATGCTAACTTGGTCATTTCCTTATGAAGATTTTGGTTTAGGGAGTTTCTAGGGTTTCTCCCATT